CAAGGGCGGTTTGTGCGAATCAGGCGAGCCCAGCCTGGAGGACCGTCACGGGGTGTCTGCAGGACGAACTACCGACTGACGCCAGCTCAGGCTCCATTCCGGGGTCTTTTTTCTTTTAAAGATTTATTTATTTATTATGTATAGTGTTCTGCCTGCAGATCAGAAGAGGGCACCAGATCTCATAACGGATGGTTGAGAGCCACCATGTGGTTGCTGGGAATTGAACTCAAGAGCAGCCAGTGCTCTTAACCTCTGAGCCATCTCTCCAGTCCCCTAACTAGTTGTTATAACAAGGTTTCTCTATATACCAATCCTGGCTGTCCTGGCACTCGCTCTGCAGACCAGGCTGGCCTTGAACTCACAGAGACCCACTACCCCTGCCAACCCAGTGCTGGGATTAAAGGCATGCGCCACCAACGCTCAATCTCTGGGATGTTTTCTTTAAAGTATAAAGCACATGACTGTATATATGATTTTTTTTGATCAAAGAGAAAATGCTGCCCAAGAGAAAACTCTACAGCCATTTAAGGATATTTCCTCACCTGAGGATGACTACGAAAATAAAATTGACATCCTATGTATGAAAGAAGGCTGTAAAATAACTAGATTGTCAGAAAAAAAATTTACTTAACCCTCATAACCAGCCTAGGCACTGGCGGCGTTCTTGTCCCCATTTCTTTGACCAAGTGACAGACAGGTTTTAACCCTGGGCCATCTGTGTCAGGTTATCAAACACCAGAGCACATACCCACCTACCACCCCTCTGCTCCTTGGAGAAAGTAATGGCTCCTTCCTAAACTTGTTAACAGCACCAAGAAAATGATGGGTGCCCAGTAGGGCATTCCCAAAGTGTTGAAGGATATGTGGAGAAATTTGGACGACACAGGTCATCTATCTACAAAGCATTTATACTGTTTATGCTGCTCAGCGGTAGAGTGCTTGCCTTACCTCACAAGGCTCTGGGTTTGTTCAGTTCCCAGAACTTCAAATGAAAAATTCCTGTTAATTCTAACCCTCTGGAGGCTTGGGCCAGACGGACAGTTTGCGCATGCAGTAATATCATCCCCCAAACAGTAAAACCAAAAAGAGGAAAGTATTGAACTCCTACATCAGGAATGTACCTCAAAATATTTTCATAGGTAAAAGAATACAGAATACTCTAGAATATATTAAATGATGTGTTCACAGGCCAAAGTACACAAAATAAGTTGTGGGCTGGGAAGGATTATGAGATCTTACAAGGGGAATTATTCTAAAACTAATTTAGGATCATGGATGCATTTTTTGGACAGGGTTTCACAAGTGGAGGGTGACTAAGCTTTCTTGACAGGTGAGACCACCGCACTAGTTACAATGTTCCCTTAGGTGTGACCACCACACTGGCTACAATGTTCCCTTGTATCTGCTCTTTTGTCAGTGCTGGGGTTTGAACCCAGGATCTTGCATGTATTAGCACTCCACTCAGCCATACGACCATCTCCAAACCACTGGGCTGTGTACTTCAAACAGGTACATTGTTTAGTATGTGAACTAAAGCTGCTTTGTTTTTCCTTTGGTTTTCTGAGGCAGGGTTTCTCTGTGTAGCTCTGGCTGTCCTGGAACTCACTTTGTAGACCAGGCTGGCCTCGAACTCACAGAGATTCACCTGCCT